GGAGCAGGCGAGTGGGCAGGTGGGTGCCGGCCTCGGTGCGGGTGCGGCACTGGGAGTTCTCCAAGGTGCTAAAATAAACCCGCGAAGGATCAGGTTTCCCGACCAAAATAACTCCGGAGCAGCCCTGGAAATGCAGCTGAGTGAGCCGCCGGGCGGGAGCACCTGGGGTGGGAGGCGGTGATGAAAAATCCTTTTCACGGGGCTCCCTCCCCACCCTGGCAGGGGCCCTGCGCGGTCCTCCCTCCTTCCGGCCAGCTGCTGAGAGGGGAGCATCTCACCCACTCCCCTCCCCTCCCCTTCCCTTCTGGGATGTTGCCCCAAATGGCCCGCCTCCTGGTGGCCATGAGTCTGATGGCAAAGTTTGTCCAAGACCTTGACTCCAGAATCAGACAGCCATTCGTTCAATACATGTATGTTTATTGAACACCTACTGGGTGCCAGGGCCCCTGAGCCCTGGACGCACAAGTGAACAAGTAGACAGCGGTCCCTGCCCTTTGGTTGGCACTCTGCTGGGAAGACACAGGCCATGAACAGAGAGTGAGCGAGTGTAGCGCATGTGAGAAAGGACACAGGCCGAGGAAGAGAGCAGAAGAGCTCACCCGACTGCCCGGAGGGAACCCCCTTGCTCTGAGCTCCGATGTCCGTGTCCGTGCAATGGCACGTCAAGCCCCCTGTGCGGTTGGCGATGGCTCAGGGACACGCAGCCGCTCCGGGTCTGGCACAGAGCCCGTGCAAAGTACAGGCGGGTGATCCATGTGCGAGAAGTAGCAGTAAATCTGTCTCACACACTTAAAGACAACAAGGAACACGTGTCTGCAATGTACAAGCTGCTCTCGGTCCCAGAAGCCACCGGGAAACCTCTCCTGCTCTCAAGGAAGAGGCCGTGTACCCACGTGGCCAGGGACTCCTGGTCTCCTCTTACCTGGCAGGTCCCTCCACTCCGCACTGCGCCCCTCTCTCGCGATGGGCTGTGCTAGAACAGGGGGGCTGTGTGGGCCACGGCAGGTGGCACAATGATGGGGGCACAGGTGGGCTGCAGGCATGGGGCCACCTCAGTCATCTTTGCACGTCCCGCTGGTCCTTGCATGGGGGAGCGAGTGAGTGACAGGTGAGCGACAAGCAGGCAGGGACCAGCCAGCCCAGGCCCCCGCTCTGACCTTCACCAGCTGTGTGGCCTCACAGGTGATGTCCCCGACCTCGTGTACTCTTCGCCATCTCTGACATGGGACCCGTGTGGCTGGACTTGGCCTGTCATCTGGAAGTATCTGCAGCCCGGCCATGTTCTCCCAAATCTGGGCAGTGCGGCGTGGGGTCTCAGCGGGACGCATCTGAGCACTCTGTTTTGTTTTTAAATATATTTTTATTGATTTTAGAGAGGAAGGGAGAGGGAGAGAGAGGTAGAAACATCAATTTTGAGAGAGGCTTTTAAGATTCTCTCTTTGTCTTTTGCTCTTGGCATTTTAATTATGATGTGTCTTGGTGTGGTCCTCTTTGGATTCCTTTTGTTTGGGGTTCTCTGCGCTTCTTGGACCTGTAAGTCCATTTCTTTCACCAGGTGGGGGAAGTTTTCTGCCATTATTTCTTCAAATAGGTTTTCAATATCTTGCTGTCTCTCATCTTCTGGCACCCCTATTATTCTGATGTTGGTACGCTTGAAGCTGTCCCAGAGGCTCCTTACACTATCTTCGTATTTTCGGATTCTTTTTTCATTTTGCTTTTCCGGTTGGGTGTTTTTTGCTTCTTCGCATTTCAAATCTTTGACTTGATTCTTGCGCTCCTCTGGTCTGCTATTGGGTGTCTGTATAATATTCTTTATTTCAGTCCGTGTATGCTTAATTTCTAGTTGGTTCTTTATCATAGCATCGAGGGTCTCATTAGTTTTCGTGACTCTCTCCTCAAGTTTATTGACAGCTTCTAGCACATTTTTGCAAGCCCTCAAAATTGCGATTTTTAGCTCTATATCCTCCATTTCTGTCATGTTTTTTTGTCTCCGCATTTTTTATGCTTTCTTGGTGCACCCCCTAGTGGTCTTTGTGCGCAGTCTTGTTCTAGTTGAGCCTTGATTGTTGTAGTTAATACTAGAGGGATTTGACCACCAGGCCGACTGGCTGTGTGAATCAGCTGTGTCTGCCGCGGAAAACTTCTGTCCTCTGGGGAGGTGCTAATCTAGCCTTTGCCTGAGGCGATCCGGCAAATGGCTCTGCGCAGGGCTTGGGCGGGGCGGGCTCAACAGGGCGGGCGGAGGGAGCCGTTATGGTGCCCTCAGTCCTGTTCCCAGAGGCTCTGCTTCTCAGAACCCCCGGAACCGCTGCAAACCTCGGAGGGAAAGCTGCCTTCCAACTGATGCCAGACACTCCCGCTTCTCCCGTTTGGGTCCGAGTCCCCAGCGATTCGCCCGTATCTGGAGCTCAGAGTCTGAGACTCCCCCCTGACCGAAAACGACAACCGCGCTCTCAGCCACCAGCCCGCTTTGCGCGCGCACCTCCGCACCTGAGTTTTTTCCACACTGCGCCTCCTCTGAGCCTCGGTGTGCTGTTGTTTTTCCTTCTAGTTGAAGAGTCTCTCCTCAGCCAGCCTTCCTGTGGTTCTGGGTGATGTCCGTTCCGTCTTTTAGTTGTATTTTTGAAGTGGTTGTTTGCGGCAGCAGTCTCCGGTGTTTACCTATGCCACCATCTTGGTCAAATTCTCCTGGTCTCCTCTTACCTGGCAGGTCCCTCCACTCCGCACTGCGCCCCTCTCTCGCGATGGGCTGTGCTAGAACAGGGGGGCTGTGTGGGCCACGGCAGGTGGCACAATGATGGGGGCACAGGTGGGCTGCAGGCATGGGGCCACCTCAGTCATCTTTGCACGTCCCGCTGGTCCTTGCATGGGGGAGCGAGTGAGTGACAGGTGAGCGACAAGCAGGCAGGGACCAGCCAGCCCAGGCCCCCGCTCTGACCTTCACCAGCTGTGTGGCCTCACAGGTGATGTCCCCACCTCGTGTGCTCTTCGCCATCTCTGACATGGGACCCATGTGGCTGGACTTGGCCTGTCAGCTGGAAGTATCTGCAGCCCGGCCATGTTCTCCCAGATCTGGGCAGTGCGGTGTGGGGTCTCAGCGGGACGCATCTGAGCACGCAGGCCCAGCAGCAGCCCGAGGAGGACTGCATGCAGCTGAACCCCTCCTTCAAGGGCATCGCCTTCAACTCCCTGCTGGCCATCGACATCTGCATGTCCAAGCGGCTGGGGGTGTGCGCCGGCCGGGCCACGTCCTGGGCCAGTGCCCGCTCCATGATCAAGCTCATTGGCATCACGGGCCACGGCATCCCCTGGATCGGGGGCACCATCCTCTGCCTGGTGAAGAGCAGCACGCTGGCCGGCCAGGAGGTGCTCATGAACCTGCTTCTGGGACCACACCAGCTAGGGCTGAGCTACTTTCTTTATATTCTGCTTCAGTGCACAGGGACGTATGCGTGAGGGTGGCCGCGCCGGAATAGCGTTGAATAGTCACAGAATGGAAACAACCTACATGTCCAATGATAGAGGGTTGCTTACAGAAACCACTGCCCATCCTCATGACAAACAGCCATTGAAAAATCATCGGTTGTCATGGAAACATGGCCAGGCTTATATTTGTTACGTGGAAATGGGAGGTTATTTTTTTAAGGTCATATAACACATTTTTTAAATGCATATTTATGTGTGTGTGTGTATATATCTGATATACATTGATGCAATTTGTTTAATGTGTTATTTCTGGTTATTAAAGTCATACTTGATATGACTTTATCAAGCAGAATATAAAGAAAGTAGCTCAGCCCTATTTGATGGTTGTCAGTATCAGGTATTGGGACTGAGACAGGTGAGAAGCCCTTGATCACCTGACCACGAAACGCAGGGCAATGGAGGCAACCTCCCCGGGCAGATCCATTCCCAGCCCATGAACTGCGTCTCCCTCGCATGGAAACCAAGCCTGGCTGCCATTCCACGGCACTGAAGCCAGATTCATGAGTGATTTAAAAAAAAAAAAAGGCCGGCCTGCCCACCTCATGAGCTGCTGCCACAGAGGGGAGGGGCCGGGCCTGGTCCCAGAGGCCTGAGATGATGCTGTCGTGACGTCACTCACTCCATCTGGTGCCCGGAGAGGCCTTCAGCCTGGGCTCCACTGTCCAGTCCGTGGGACCAAGTCCACGCTGCCCGGGCCATGGGAAGGCCAGCCTGGCTCGCAGGGGCCTGGACGGCTGGGAGGGAAGCTGGGAAAGGCGGGGCTGAGTCCGGAGCCCACACGGGGCCTCTGGCCTGGACAGCTGAGGCCAGGGCAGCCGGAGGACTACATTTCCCAGAGTCCCCCAAAGCCTGGGGAGCCAGCCATTGGGAGATTTAAATAGCCCAGGCCCGAGGCAGGGCTGCAGCTGTGGACTCCCCCGCCTCCCTGG